GTCTAGACTGACATAAAAATGAAACGGCATCATTCTTGTCACCAGAATGAAGCATGGCTGACACTCTTTGATCTATGACACGCCCATGTGGCCTCTAGGCTAAAACAGCACACACAGAAGTGTGCACAGTTATAATCAGAAACTTCTATAAATACAAGACATGAAGCCTCCTAACTTCCACATTGCGTAACCTTGCCATGAAGTAGCATCTTACCGCTCAAAGCATCACACTTAATTCAGAGGGACCGTTAGTAGATACAGGGCATTATCCAGTGTGTGTCCCAATAGCTGTTCATCCGGATACACGGTGTCTGAATCGCACCTTAAGCTCCTGTTCAGGCTTACACATCAATCCTGTTCAGGCTTACACATCACCTTCAGTCAACACAGGGACACTATTTAGGTTCCTTTTCACAAAGAGCTTGGCGCGCATTCATCTGCCCTATCACTATCCAGCTGCTAGACTGAGCATCCTGCTGGAACCCACAACATCAGAAGGATATAGACCAGTTGGAGCATGTCCAGAGGAGGTCACCAAGATGCTCAGAGGGCTGGAGCACCTCTGCTATGGGGACAGGCTGAGAGAGTTGGGCTTGTTCAGCCTGGAGAAGAGAAGGCTCTGGGGAGACATTATAGCACCTTCCAGTACCTGAAGGGGCTACAAGGAAGCTGGAGGGGACTTTTTACAAGGGCCTGTAGTGACAGGACAAGGGGTAATGGGTTTAAATTGTAAGTGGGGAGGTTTAGATTGGATATCGGAAAGAAATTCTTCCTGGAGAGGGTGGTGAGGCACTGGCACAGGTTGCCCAGAGAAGCTGTGGATGCCCCATCCCTGGAAGTGTTCAAGGCCAGGCTGGATGAGGCTTTGAGCAACCTGGTCTAGTGGAAGGTGTCCCTGCCTATGGCAGGGGGGGGGGAACTAGATGGTCTTTAAGGGCCCCTCCAACCCAAACCATTGTGATTCTGTGTTCACCCATGCTTAGAGACACCCGTTTCTAAAACAGTCTCTCTTCCCCCATTAGAGAATTAGTGTCTGTGGGTCAGGATTTACGTGGATTTACTGATCTCTCTGGTTACTTGCCCAACTCTTAATGCACAGCTCAGCAGTGCACACCACTTCTGGCAAGGTATCACCTGTGCAACTTTTGTGGTCTACGCCCAGACCGAGTGTAGATGTCGGACTCAGTGGGCCACGGTGGTTCAAAGACTCCAGCGATAGTCCTGGAAACTGAGCTACTGCCTTTAAACCTGTCACAGACATCTGTACAATCAGGAGTATAGAAACACTCTTGAACGTGAGCGAGCTAGGAGGTAGAACTGAAAACCAAACACAGACAAACTCGTACCATCTGTTTTGAAATGCCAACGCTTTCCCGGAATAACCTGTGCATCACCACCTAAACGCATGCCCCAAAAAAAGTGTGTAATTAAAAACCTGAATTGTTGTCTCAAAATGATTTATGAGCGTGAAGAAGGCAACATACTTTTCTGGTGCATGTGGCTTAGAGCTTCACCGCTGCCCATGTGGTCTCTGTGTATCTGCATTCTTCACTGCTCATCCCACAGCTCCTTACAAAAAGATTTATGCTTTAATTTGACAGCCAGGCTTCACTACCAGTGGGGGGAGTGGGGGTGGGGCAGGGAATAGAGAAAGCAAGAAGAAGGGTTGTCACACAAGAATGAATGCATACAAGATGCAGGAATTTTTAAAACCCTACTTTGCTTTCAATTTTGAGTAAATTAATAGTGGTGTCTTGTCAAACCCACAAATAAAGGCTACGGTTGACATGGTAAAAGAACATGAAGGGTTTAGAAACAAAAGCCCTGTTGACTTCGATGGGTCAAAACATCTTACAATCAAAGATGGATTTTAGCTGCTTAAACACGGGTATCTAGTTTGGAGGCTCTAGCTCACAATCCCTGATCCCGAACAGCACAGCTCCTGTGGCGTTTGTGCCATATTTGCCAGGCCCACTCTAGGGTTTCTCAGACGATACCAGCTGCCTACGTCCAGGCCATTAAGTTCTCCCTACTTCATTTTTCCAGAGCTGCTGTTCTCGATCGGTAAGAACTGTGAACGAGCAGAGTCTCTAAAAACCAAGCCAGCCATCAACTTGTGTGGACAGACATTCAGTGATTAATTTCTACAGCATTATCTGAAAACTGCGGACAGTGATGGTTACAAGCAGAACAATATAAAAAGGCACTTATTTGCGATAATGACTTGTACAGAGGAGAGGGAGAGGACACCAGAAAATCATAGCATACAATAAATTGTTCTCCCCTTTTCACAGCTGATTGTCTGCTTCCATCTGCAAGTTAGATTTAAACTGGAATAGCTTGTGAGTACTAATTCATTCAGCGATGATGTTTGATACGACAAAGAAACTTATTTTATCTAATGTTTGATATGACAGAGAAACTTATTTGGTATAAGGGTACAGTAATCCCAGCATCTCTCCTCAGCCTTTGGAATAAGAAAACACACTGGGCTCAGAGAGTCACTGTGCAGGGATTTATAGATCCACTTGTGAAAGTCTGGGGTTTTTCCTCCAGTAATGATGGCAAATTCAAATTTTTTTTTTTTTTTTCTAGAGCAAATCTGAATCTAATTGTTACTCTCAAAATAAATTTTTAAGGTTGAAGTGTGGATATGGACCTCTAGGAAGCTGTACCAGTACTTCTTTCTAATCCCACACTGCCCAGAGTAGAAATAAAACTCTAGAGTTTAAAGGTTTTTTCCATTTAAAACAATAATGTCCTGGGACTTGCTGATCTGCATGAATTTCCTCGTATGATTTCAGCACCCAAGCTCTAGATCAGTCTCCTGGCATACCACCTGTAGTCAACTGAGCGGTGTGAGTCATACAAGCACTGTTTCTGTCAGGCTTGTTATGAGTAAAGTACTTCATTTCATTAAAGTCCACTTGGAGATGAGTGAAAACATATGGAGACTGCAAAGGAAAAAAGACTTTATTGTGAACATAGCTTAGGGATGTACGAGACGTATTTCAGAATATACTGTTATAGATGAAATGAGAAAAACCCAGTCTGCGACGGATGAGCTAAATGACCAGTGCTTGACACCGATGAGGAATATGCACACGGCTGTTCTAACTGCACAGTTCTGGTACCAATCACAACATGTATCATAAAGCAGTCATGATCAGAGGCAATTTTAAACAACATTTATAAAAAAATGCAAATGTTGGACCTACTCCTGCATCGCTGCACATCCAAAGCTTCAGTGAAACCTGCAGTTGTGTGGAGGGAACAACGAGAGCAAACTGACACCCCACCTCAGGCAGCAGAAGGTAGAGGTGGAGGTAACATCAAAAAACAAAACCACTGGTACAAAGGTAAAAAGGCAAAATATTATCCCAAGGAAGATGATTATTTCACGAGACATCTTAATTGCAGCATCCTGGCTCCATTAAAGCCAATGAGAGTCTCCCATTGAGATCAGTGGAGCCTGAATTTTATTCTGAAATTTAAAACATTCTTGCATTAGTGTAAACATCAGCAGAAACAACATGTCAGCATCTGTAGAAGTATCCAAGTGATGTTTAGAAAAAAATAAAAAACGGACAGTGCTAACCCAAAATGCCAGTACATATCCAAGAGGCAGATAATTAGAAGAGGTGGGTTTTTTTAAATATACATTTTAAAGTATTTAAAAGCATCACTTTTTAATATTTGTGTATCACTGCAAGGGAGAAAAATTCCATGAGAAAAATCAGAATTATTTGCAATGATAAAGGAAGGGCACAGTGTTTGCTCAGATTTATTCAAAACCAGTATTCTTCCACGCCGGAGTGATGACATACACCTGCACATTCAAGCGTATTTCAAAGCAGTGCTAAGGAGTGGCTGTACTTCATCCTTAGGAAATATACTCCTCCTGTGCATGTGTCTCAGCATAATTCCTCATGAGCCATTTACACCCGTTCATATTTTCCTTAAAAAAGTAACAGAAAGGAAAATTTCTTGAAGACGTATTTTTTTGTCTTTAAACGACCCGATGAGACTTGACATCATGGCAACTTACAATCATGCATTCGGAGATCCAGAGTCAATACAACCTTTCCATTTACTCTCAGAGTTGTGCCTGTCTTCAAACAGTTCCTTCCAAATTTTCATGCGGATATCAGAACTGGATAACAGCTCCTTTATCTGATTCAGCCTGGATAACAGGGCCTGCGTTTCTCTGTGCAAAGCTTCCTTTACTAAGTCTGCTTCATGGCTCTTTCCTAGAGGAAGAGAACAACATAACACATTTTATAACAACTAATGTCGTTTACAGTCATTAACCTGTGGAGACGGTATGTGGTTTGGACAGTATCAATTGCTCTGCCATTTGCCCATACTGATTTTTTATAAAAAAGGGTACCTTGATCCAAAAAAAAAAAAAAAAAAAAATTATATCAACAAATGCTACCAAAAAGTAAAGAACAGCGTCACGTTTAGGAGAGACTCCTGCCATGTTACATACTGTGTAATAGTATCTGTGATGATATCTGCAGCGGTAATTTTTAGCCTGGGGCCGACTGCTGTTGACTAGGAAACAGCACGTGCTCTCACAGGGAGTAAGCATTGCCAAACCCCAGGGTGGCGGCCATCGCTTCCACTTATGGCAAGGCCTCTTCCACGGCCATTCATGACAATCCAGAAGGCAAACGCAAAGGGTTCAGTTTCTCTTCAAGAGCAGGGAAGGGACTCTTGGTATCAAGAGCCAGTGAAGACTGGAGCCGCCCGCTTCACCATTCTTGCCTTTTTTCCACCGTCCATCCCTCCCAGCGTTCAAGAGACTTTCAGCACTGCAAGCACCTTACTGAACTGGCAGAGAGTGTTCTTCGATTCAGAACACCCTTTTGATAAGAGGCTCACAAAGCAGAGTGCCTGTCACCCAGCGCCACTTAGCACATTTCAGCGGGGAGCTGGGACATGTTTTTGTGGTTATTCCTGGCGGGATGTTTGCTCCTGGGCTTTTTGCGCAGTGCTCACTTGCTGTTCTCGTCGTCGCTCTCACGCTTGTGGCCACTTGCCGCTTCTTCAGCTTTCAGGGGGCTGCCGTCAGCCTGCCTGGCTTTGGTTTGCGTTTCTTCTAAGTACTGCTGCACTGCCTTCAGCACTGCGTTCTCCACCAGCCGTCTGCTGAGGCTCACCAGCTCTGCGTCGTCTGGCTCTGCCGCCTGTTTTTCACCTGTGCGGCACAACAGACAAGAGAAGGAATTCATTGCCACGGAAAGACAGCAGCCCTAACTCTATCAGCAGCCTCTGGCCGAGCTGGATTTTAAGTTATGAGCGGCCTCTTCCTGATTGTAAAAAGGAATTTTCCCCTCCTCAAGCTCCGACTCAGAAGTATTTCGTGAAGATGTGGACAGTGTATCAGTTCAAAAATGTTTCGCTGCTCATCTTTACTGTAACACCCCCGTGAAAGCCACTGGCTCACACTAAAAGCGCCCACTCGGCTCCGAAAAGTAAGCGTCCAAACGTCGTTTCTTCTGGCCAACAGTCACCTCTGCCACCCGGGCAAAGATGAGGAACACGGCACACGATGAACTCTTTAGTACCATTCTTAAGCTTAGCTGCCCCTGTTCTGCGACTTTGCTTAATAAATCTAAAATCTTCTACTTATTTATTCACTGCTCATAATTCAAGAGTTTCTCATGGGAAAAATGACTAAAACACCCTAAGCGCAGGATAGTTTTCTTTCTAAACAAAGCGTTAAACTTGGTAAACCATGTAGTCCCTCCCTGTCTCTCTTCCCCCTAACTTAAAGCTCTGGCATTGAGGGAATGCAGGTTCCAGCAGTCCATCCTTAGATACCCGCTGATACAAGTGGGAAGCTGGCACTTCCCTGCCTTGTTATGAGTTCACGTGAATAAACATAAACAACGAAATAACCGTATGCACAGTGAGGCTTCTCACACATCACTGAATGTATTCTGAAACTGTACTTTTCCCCAAACCATTTTCCTAATAAACTCTATAGCCTACCTACGGCATCCTCCCTTTATGAAGAATGCAATCCTGGACAAGCAGATTTTACGGTCCTATTTCCACTGGTCACGTAATTTGCCACTTTGCCACTTCTTGCGCTGGGTAAATAACTGTTTCCCTCTAATCTGTACTTAAAGGTCATACTTCTGATATCCTCGTCTGCTGTTGGTGTTCCGCAACCAGTAATAAGAGGCTGCTTAGTCACACACATCTGGCGAAAGAGATACTATTGTATGCTCTCAGCACAAAGCTTTGTACTGTTCAATTATCTAAATTTGGTCTTTTACATATATGTAAATTTATTCAACTTTGTCATCACATATAGATTGGAATTATAAAAGACTTTTATTAGTCTTCCTAGTGGATAGCACAACCCTGGAGTGATTTCACTGATAAAACATGATTCATGTGGGGATTTGAGGTGGAGAGGGAGAGGGCAACAAACCTCTTCATTTTCAGAGACAGCACCTTTATTAGCCCGCTCCAGAACAGCGACACAGACATAAAACTCTTCCAGTTCTGGGCCTTCACAGCACTGTTACTGTGGGGAAGGAAGGACTCCAGCTGAAGAGTCATCAGACTAGACCTCAGTAAAGCATTTCATTACATTTTGGAAAAAGTTAGGAAAAATACTCTAAAAAATATTTTAAAAAGCAGCTATGGGAACAGACTTGGATAAAACAAAATTTAAAAAATAAGAGAAAACATTAAGAAGACGTTTAGCATTTCCAAGAAGAAACAGATTAATATGCAAGTCCGAGGGAGGCACAGGCACTATTCCCAAAACCACTTGAACAGCTACATACGCCAAGTTCTGTCCCACTGGTTACCATGCTCCTTTGCCATCTGTAAATCCTGGGTTTAAGTCTACCCTTTAACTTACTTTGAGGAGGGACTTAATTCAGGCTCTTGTCTATCTGGAGACCCAAGATATAGATCATGGAATCAGAGAATGGTTTGGGTTGGAAGTGACCTTAAAGCCCATCTAGTTCCACCCCCCCTGCCATGGGCAGGGACACCTTCCACTAGACCAGGTTGCTCAAAGCCTCATCCAGCCTGGCCTTGAACACTGCCAGGGATGGGGCATCCACAGCTTCTCTGGGCAACCTGTTCCAGTGCCTCACCACCCTCTCCGGGAAGAACTTCTTCCTGATATCCAATCTAAACCTCCCCACTTTCAATTTAACCCCGTTACCCCTTGTCCTGTCACTACAGGCCCTTGTAAAAAGTCCCTCCCAGCTTCCTTGTAGCCCCTTCAGGTACTGGAAGGCTGCAATAAGGTCGCCCCGGAGCCTTCTCTTCTCCAGGCTGAACAAGCCCAACTCTCTCAGCCTGTCCCCATAGCAGAGGTGCTCCAGCCCTCTGAGCATCTTGGTGGCCCTCATATCAGCTGCACCTCCTCCCAGGTTTTGTGAACTGATCCCACAGGCCCCTTTGAACGTAGCCCTTTGAGTCAAGACTTCCTTTGCTTTTATTAAGGATATTTGACAAAATGTTTTAGTTGTCCCAGCCTATTTATTTGCTAGGGAAAAAAACAAGAATGCTGTGGTTTCCAGTTGGAAAATTTCTTTTTTCAGAACTGCTAGTGAACCACAGAAATTGTTACCCACGCAACTCAAATGACCTGTCCTTGCAACTCTGAACAAAATCAATGGGAAATATGGTTCTCAGCTACTCTGACACTTGACGTTATAGTCATATTCTGCATCTGAGGTACTAATCAGTCACAGAGACCTCCAGATACCACGAAACAGTATTGACTGTATTTACTCAGAATGTACTTTTACTTGTAGTACATTAGGTTATTATTCTTGCACCAGATAAAAGGACAGAGTTCTTATCTCATAAATATTTTCTGCAAAACAGTTCACATTTACATATGTGTAATATCCATGTATCATCTACTGCATTTAAAACTTCAAAGTAAGTAGATAGCTCACTGTGTAAGTAATTACCCAAGCATGAAAAAAGTCAGACTATTTAAAACGAGCCTTTAAAAAGGTTTTATACAGTTTATATAGCTACAGAAGAATGTTTTAGGGTTTTTTTGTTGTTGTCAATATTGTGAGACATTCAGGGCTCACCAACAGTCTGGAGCTGAACCTATAGCACCTCCAAGTGAGCTCTGCGCTCCCACTGGGAAGACATAGATGGGATCTGACCGACACATGAATGTACCAAGAGCACCCTTGGATTTAGCCACCTGGCCTCCTTGGTGGACTGGCGTATGGGGCTACACGATATACTCAGGCTCCCTAAATAGCAGCTGTGTGCGTGTCTGTGCAATGCTGAGGCTCATTGCCGAGGCAGGAGTACACTGTTGCATCATTCCTATTCATGACTGCTGACAAAGAGAAATAGGGCACGGAATAATGAGTATTGATCACCCATATTTACTCCAATATTTAACACACATATATATGTCCTGTTTATATCTCTCTCTGTGCACAGTTTAGTCAGCACAGAGTTTGTTTCCTGCACGGGAAGGAGTATGAGGCTGTGTTTTGGATCTGCCCTGAGAAGAGTTCTGATGCTGGCTCCCCCACAACACTCTCCAGGCCACACCTGCTGCTTGCCCACTTCTCAGACGTATACAGTTCCTCTGCAGCAGGCTACTGCCTTTTTGTACAGACTATCTGATGTTACGGTAACTATCAGAATATCAGTAAAAAGTAATTGAAGATATGAATGTTTTAGATTTAAAAGGGAGGTTTAAAAATTCAGAAATGCTTTGTTTGTAAGGTGTATCCTGATAAGGGAACAGAACCACCACGGGCACTGTATTCACATCGGCGCTGTGCTTCTCGGTACAGACTGCGCCTCTACTTTACTTCTGTGCCTCTGAATAAAAAAATTCCATTGCCTCTTCCAGCATATGGATCAGAATAAAAATAACAAAACCTTTCATTTTGTTTATCCCAGAATTCTCTTCTATAATTTTCAAAAGATGAAAACAAATCCATTCTCTGTGAATGTATTTCAGTGTATCCATGCTAAGCAGTGCTTTTTATTACAGATACTGAAGCACACCCATCGTTGTGAAATGAGCACCATTTTTTACAAAAAGGAACTACCAACTGCACAGAATTATTCAAAAGGGGCTTTATGATCCTACAGCGTGCGGCTAGTAGTTATGGACATCAACCAGATCCAAGTTTGGATTCAAGGTCACTGCTGTATCTCCCTACTGGACTAGGTATACCCTCCCCGTCTACACCCCCTTATACACTTCACACTACCGTGATCTGGATTTTGAAATACTCTGCTGGAACAGGTCAGATTTCGTGGTGCTGGTACAGCATGTCCATGGTCCTGACACAGCCTGTTCTAGAGTCCATGCGGGCATCTCAGACTGGGAGATAGGCAGGTCAGTTACTTGGATCTCTCTCCTGTTTATACTACTAGTCATTTTTTTCCTGAGATATTTAATTGAAGAACCAACAGCGGATCCCTTCTACATGAAAAGCATGTTTTACCGCCTTTTACCAGCTACAGTCCAAGACAATGCTCTGCAATCCTTGCCTCATGGCCTCAACACACTGGGTTTTGGTTTTCCTTCCAGCAACTTTTCATCACAACGAAACAATGCCAACATGGGGCAAATTATAAAGGAGACCGTTGGTATCTGAATAGGTGACTGACACCAGCTGGCAGCAGAGGTTACAGTCCATACCCTGGGGAGGGCTGCGGTAACAGATATGCCTCTGTCTACCCTTTGGTTCATCCTTTTTCTAATACTGTTTTTACAAAATCTAGAAACAAACAAACAAAAAACCACGAGGAACTTGGGCAATCTTTCAAAACCTAAACGTTAAGAAATCCCTTCTGAATGCTGGAAAACTTAATTTTTCTACTTACGACGTGCCTCTTGCTGACACCAAGAGGGTGAGCCAAGGAGCTGTTGCATACATGCAAAGCTTTCACCATAAGACTGCCCTTCTGTGGTGGCTCCAACTCCTAATAACCCCTCACTATAAGATAATTGATTAATACCAACTCTGTACAGGGACAAAAGTTTTGCTAGCGTGCAGTACAGTGGGACCAAAGGAAGGAGACCATTACCCGAGCTACTGATGAACTAAGAAACCTTCAGCAGACGACTATCGATTATTTCTGCATATGGTGGGGTTGGAGAAAACAAAGGAAAGCCAATAAAACAAACAGCAGGCAGATTTTGGCAGGTTGCAATGTCAGTGGCTAAGGCTTTGTCATGGTTCGCTATCTCGGTGTCATCAGGAAAAGACCTAAGAATGAAGACATCATTTATACTCGCAACACCTGGGCACACGTACACTACTGCAAGGCTGCCATGCCCGTTTTTACTACACTAAACCTTTGCATCTACAGAATCTGATTCAAAATTAAATCTCACTGACTTCCATGGGAATTGGATGAGGTTCCCACACCTGCATACAGAAGTGCAATGTCCTGTGCATCAGACAATAATGCATAGGACATTGCAAACATTTCCTTTATGGAGGACTTCCAGATAAATTTGGTAGGCCATATGTATTAACAGATCTATAGCATTAGAGAAATACCATCACCCCCTGCCCTGCAAAGACGGTGACTC